AACGACCACGTCAGCAGTCTAGTTCTAGCGCGGGTCATGTGTGGTTGCAAACTTGCAACTTCCTCTTTAGCCGATTCCAGTAAAATGACACATCGGTGCCGGCAGCTGTTGGTTGCAGCTCACCTCATTGGTTATCTGGTTCCAGCACCAGTCATGTGTGGTTGCAACTTCCACTTTAGCCGGTTCCAGCAAAATGACACATCGGGTGCACACCAGTGTCGGCAGCTGTTGGTTGCAACACACCTCATTGGTTGTCTAGTTCTACCGCCGGTCATGTGTGGTTGCAACTTCCACTTTAGCCGATTCCGACAAAATGACACACCGGTGGCGGCAGTTGTTGGTTGCATCTCACCTCATTGGTTATTTGGTTCCAGCGCCGATCATGTGTGGTTCCAACTTCCTCTTTAGCCGATTCCAGCAAAATGACACACCGGCTGCACACCGGTGTCGGCAGCTGTTGGTTGCAGTACACCTCATTGGTTGTCTGGTTCCAGCGCCGGTCATATGTGGTTGCAACTTCCACTTTAGCCGATTCCGGCAAAATGACACACCGCTGTCAGCAGTTGTTGGTTGCAGCACACCTCATTGGTTGTTTGGTTCCAATACCGATAGTGTGTAGTTGCAACTTCCCCGTTAGCCGGTTCCAGCAAAATGACATGTCGGTTGCACAACGGTGGCCGGCGCGTGTTGGTTGCAGCAACGGGCTGCTGGGTCGATATTCACACATGCGGCGTGGGCGCGACCAAGTCCCCCCAGGCACCATGGCCATAGGTCACAACCTTTGTAGATGCCCCCCGTCATGTTGAAGTGTGGCGGGTTGCCTTCGTGAGCACCTATGCCCTCTGTAGAGGCTGTAGGGGAGAAAAAAAGGGACCACGACATGCACCCTTCATCGAGGCTGCAGGGGAGAAAAGGGGGTACCGCAGTCATGGAGGAGAGCTTTCATGAGCGGGGCGCATGGAGGAGGAGGCGCCCGCAGTGTGGCTGGGTTGGGTCAACGCATGTGTGGAGAATGGCTGTGAAAGAGAAAAATATCGGGAGGTTGGAGATAGAGGAAGAAGAGATAAGGTGGGGTCATTTTTCAAGACGCGCGATAAGCCTCGATCGCGTGGTTCGCATGCGAATGGCACAAGCTTCAGCCGGTCTCCCACCCAAAATCATTTACTTGCAAGTGGCCCTGTACGTGGACATAATTTCCGGTGTGTAACGGGTCCATTTTCGCCCACTCGTTTCTGTAACGGGTCCATTTTCGTCCGCTCGTTTCAGTAAACATTCAAACGCCCGAATTTTTAGCTAGCCAATATCAAATCCAATACGAAGGGTCTAATTTAGACATCCGAACGCAATGTAAGGAAAAGTGTTGCACTTTAGACATGTTTCAAGCGACTTTGAGAACCTTAACCACCGGTTTTCACTTAAACTTCTAGATTATGAACCTGATTGTAATTTTGCTGATTATTCTACATATGTTGCCACAGAAACTAGGGCGTGTTTGATAGTCTGTATTTTTTCAGAGTCATTACATTTGTGACGGAGTTGGGTCTGGCTAACTAAATACACATCAAAATCAATGTTCCGCATATAGTTTGGTAGGCTATTGATGACCCAGAAGTATAAGGGTTCTATCATAGGCCTTTTGGTCATCACGTCGCTTGCTCGGTAGCTCGCCATCACGGATTTTTTTCAAGACGCTCACACATTTGTTTGGGCTTTTTCTCTTCTTTCGTTGTTGCTTTGCTGTGAAATGAGAAAAATGTCCATGGGTTTAAGAAATCAGGAATTTACAAAAATTCATGATTCTGAAAAAATGTTCACCAATTTACAAAAATGTACACGGGCATAAAACACTTCATGGAATAAAAACATGTTCGTGCATTGGAAAAATTTCACAAATTCAAAAAATTGGTCGCAAATTTGAAAGAACATCATGAACTTAAAATTGTTTGCGGATTTTAAAAAAACTTCATGCATTCATAAATTGTTGATGCATTTGAAAAAATCACCAATTTGAAAGAACTTCACTAATTTGAAAATTGACCATGGATTTTTATGAATTTGAAAATTTTCCATGGATTCATAAAATGTTCACGTATTCAAAAAATGTTCGCAAATTTGAAAATAGTTTGGGGATTTTAAAAACTTCATGCATTTGATAAATTGTTCGCAAATTCGAATTTTTTTTGTGCATTTGAAGTAATTTCATGAAATTGAAAATTTCCGCGAATTTGGACACTGTTTGCGTATTTGAAAAAACTACACAAAGTTAAAAAAACAAAGAAGAAATCGAGGAAACGGAAAGCAAAAGGCGTTTGGAAGCTTCTAGAAGCTTCACAATATCGGCTGGAGAAAGTTTCCCATAAACCTGAAACGCAATCTCTAGATGGGCTGGCCAAATATCCACAAACAGGTAAGCCATGGGCGAGACCTCCTAATTGGCATCTTTAGCGCCAGCTAGGGAAGTGGCGCACACCCTCTAGCTTAGCAGGCCGCCGCCCATAGCGCACACACGCTTCTCTCGCCTCGCTCGCTTTATTTTTCTCCTCGCTAGCGCATTGACAGTTGACAACGATAGTTAATCGTTGATGTTAGCATTGGCCATTGACTCTTAAACTCGTGAATTAGAATCACAAATTCTAAAAAGTTTGTCAATTTGAAAAAAGTTTGTGAATTCGAACAAACTCACAAATTTGAAAAAGTTCACGATTTGGAAAAAAAATCATGAATTCAAAAAAAAATTCACAAAAATGAAAAAGTTCATGCATTAAAAAAGATTCACGAACTTAAAAAAACAAAAAATTGAGAAAAGTTCATAAAAAAGCAAGACTTGAAAAAGTTCGTAATTTTAAAAAATCACAAAAGTGAAAGAAAGTTCACGAATTTTAAATAGTACAAATTATTTAAAAGAATCCTAATTTGGAAAAAGTTCATGAAAAATTGAGAAAAAATCGGAAATTTTCGAAAAATCACAATTTAAAACAATTGGCAAATTTGTTGAAAGTTTACGATTTTGATAAAACCAGAAAATAAAAAAAGAAAGAAAAAGGAAAAAATAAAATGGAAACAAAATGAGAAAACAGAAAACACTGTGCTGGGTAAAAAGCCGTTGAAAACCGCCTAGAGAAAAACAGTCAGAACATTCATGGGAAGGTTTCCGAAAAAATAGGTGGAAAAAAGGACTTACATGGGTCGGTCCATGGAGATAGACAGTATTGTGGTGCGCCGGTGTTGAAAACCACTATAACCTGCGCATAAGGCGTCGAATAGGAGTTGAAGCTATATGCGCTGAAATAGGAAACAACTCCTGTGTATATGCAAGATGATTAATTAAGGTTACCTCTTGCAAAGGTCATTCGCACCTTCTCAGGTGTTGACAAGTGGTGCATTGCATGCACGCCACTTATTGCGATATGAGAGTTTCATTTTTTTTCGTCAATTCGTTCGTTCAAACGTTTAATCTCTTGAACCATGCATCAAATCCTAAACCGTTTTCGCTGTTGGATTTGTCACATCGTGGTCTATGAAACTAGATTTCATGTTAATAGATTTCGATAATCTTGAGAAAAATTTTTATAACCGAAAGCATGTTCCTTTTTACTCTTTTTTTTTCTCTTCGAGGGGCACACCTATGCTTCTCGCACAAACAAATTTGTGTCTCCACGAGAAGCAAATATGTGCCTCTTTTGAAAGCAAAAGAAATGTGTTTATTTTCCTTTTCTGAGAGGCAGAACTGTGCCTCTCAGAGATGCAAATCTACGCCTCTCATGAAAGAAAAATAACGTGTTTTTCTTTTCTTTACCAAGATGCACAACCTCTTGCGAAAGCAAATTTCTGGCTTCACGAGAAGCAAAAAAAACTTTGTTTTTTTTCTAGAATCACAACTGTGCCTTTTGCGGTAGAAAATATGTGCCTCTTATAGAAGCAATTTTTTTTATTTTTCGAGAGGCACAACTACGCCTACACGAGAAGCAAAGTTGTGACTTTCGTGCAAGAAACGGAAACACGTTTCCTATGCGTGTCTTCTGAAGAAAAAATCAAAATTTTCCCAAAAAACTAGGTAAAGTCGCTAGGGCTACCCCTTAATTAATTGCGCTACGGGTGCCCCTTAATCTTTTTTTTTCTTTGAGAATCTGCCCCTTAAATTTTTTTGAGGGGTTGCGCCTTAATCTTTTTGAGTGCCCCTTAATAAATTGCTCTCATATGTCCAACAGAGTCCATTGCTAACTGGGCCTATCCTGAGTTATACTTGGATCATAAGTAATCGCAATAAATTGTACGTACTGTTGTTTCACTCGATTCGCACCGCTGATACCCAACAGGCCCGTAGAGGTTGCAAACTGAAAAACAGCATTCACATTTCCTGTTTCCGTATGCACGCTGGAGATGAAAATGAAAAGAAAGAATATAATCCACGGCCATTCTCAACACTACAGAATATAAGGACAATGTCCCTGCGGCTGCATCAAACACTAACTGTAAGCCCAATGATACAAAAGAACAAACTGGTGTATGCACCAAAATTTAATACAGTAGGGAAATCCTGTGAGATAAACCCCATATATCATCCACAACAATCCTCAGGACGCATCATCCATGGCAACAAGGGAACGACAATTTCTTTTCAGACAACTATACAGCCAAAAGAAAAAAAGGATTTGCACTTCTGGGATTTATTTCCTATTTATTGCTGTGTTTGCCCCCTTACTGCTTTGTAATGCGCTTTTCAAGTGCAGCCATCATGTCCGACCTAGACAAACAAAATCGTCCGACTCTGGAAATGTAACCCCGCTGTACATACATGGTCCATCTATCACGGGATATCCTGCCCGTAATCAAACAGACGATCTCTTCTAATCGCTTCTCCAGCAATAACAAGCAGTTTTGTTTCATCACGGAACCTGAAGAAAATACTTGTGTTAGTACCTAAAGTACAGTTCGATCGGCAACCAAAAAGCTCAACGAGTGAGGCTACTGTGTGGAGGAACTGGAAATCTGGTACCAACCTAATTTGAAGGTGGTGGGCCTCGGTGGAGTAACCATGCTGCCCAATCATTGCGTCTTCGGACATTATTTCCCTGTGGGCACACCAGTGGTAAATCATGCAGGCATATGACATGTCAGATGTGCCAGATCATGATCATTACAACAATCACTAGAATGGAAAGATAAAATGTAAAGCCAGTGTCGACGTACCTGCACTTCCAACAACTCAGAGCCTCGGATAGAATCTAGTATATAGTTGGTATCTATTCCCAACATTGTGAACCTGGTCAACTGCGAGAAAACAAACCCAGATCATTACATATATTGATATACACAATCAAAACCGCCGGTGTGACGAGTAAAATGAGGTCACCAATATACGACTTCAATGCTAGTTGGTGATACATCAAGGTAATCCGCCATTGTGAAGTATTCATTTCGCAAAAGGGGTTAAATTTGCATTTGCTAGATGCTAAATGAAATATGGTAACCTGGGAGGCTTAAGTGTTCATTTCTTAGAATAATAGAGGACTAAAAACTAGGGACACAGAAATTACTAGTAGATTCTTAGATGCAATATGGCAACCTTGGTGGACCTAAGTGCTGAATGTACTCTAAGCAATCCTATAATCTCCTAACATAAATGCATTTTACAAAGGAAAAACAGAGTTTTTAAAAACAAATGAAAACAAAAATAAAGAGTTGTCAAACACTAAGAGAACAATGCAAAGATGCTCCAGGGGTACAGCCATGTACTATTAGGGACTGCCTGTCAACAGCTAAAACCTTCCTCCAAAGCACCAGCTTCAGTTCCGTACTCCCACCACTTTCTTGGTTTATAATCTTGAGGATAAATTTGGGCATAGTTATATTTAGGTGAACTCTCAACCCTAGAAGTCATCATTGAAGTATTAATGGATGGCTATATTTTGAATAACAATACCGATTTGGTCATTTCACCGATTTGGTCATTTCACCTACAAAGAAAGTGCTACTCAAATGCAAATGTCACTCGTAATAATATTTTGCAAAACAGCCCTAAATTTTAACTTGGAAAGAAGGTAACCAGCAAGAAGGTTAAAACTGAGACAAAGTTGGTATGCAAAAAATACTAATCAAACTCACGTTTGTAGAATCTGTAATTTTTCACAACTACTGTTGGCAATGTTAACATATTAGAACCAAATGATATTTCTTCGAGAAGAGAACAACTGAGCTCGAGTAATGTAGCAAATCTACCGTAGAAGCACTACCAAACAAGTTAGTATACTTTTAAATAAAATTTCCAAAATATGAAATGTTAGAACAAATTAAATTTCTGTGATGCACACGAGATTAAGAGTTGTAATTTAGTACTTACAAGTATCTTCTATTGTCTTGCCCAACAAAATGGCAGCGATCTCATTTTATAATTTTGTCACATTTATAGCAACCACAAAGAACATCTGTAGTGTCATGCCTTGAATTAGGCAAAATGTGAACCCCCCCCCCC